AATCAATAAAACAGAAAATAGAAAACAGAGAAAAATCAATGAAACAAAAAGCTTGTTCTTTGAAAAGACCAACAAAACTGACAAACTTCTAGGCAGACCAATCAGGAAAAAAAGACAGAAATTACCAAAATCATAAATAGGTAGGTGACATTATCAGAGATTCTACCAATACTAAAAGGATAATAAGGAATATTATGAATAATTTTATGCCTATACATTTGATATCTTAGATGAAGAGACCAATACCTTGAAAAACACAAACTACCAAAGCTCACTCATGAAGAAAACAGATAACCCCAATAGCTTAATATCTATTAAAGTAATTGAATTTGTAGTTTAAAATCTTCCCATAAAGAAAAATCCAGGCCCAGATGGCTTCGTAGGAGAACAACTCTACCATGGCACCCTGGCTACCTTGCAGTCTCCACACAGGCCACCTAGACAAGGCTCAACTGTAGTCTGACTCATGTCTTGACAGAATGCTCTGTAATCTTCCCAGGAACATGGTAAGATAGGCAGTCGGGTGAAAAACTGTCACAAAGTCATTTCTCATCCACCTCTCTATCTTGAGGGAGGCTTTCCATGAAGCAGTTTCTCAGCAGCTTCCCTAGTTCCAACGATGCATAAGACTATACAGTTCACCTTCCTTAGGCTATAGCTACAAAGCATAAACTGCTTGGCTGTCCTCCACAATATAGTGACCCATAGCCCAGAGGGGCATCTGGCTCCTCCAGTTTGGTGTCATCCTGTGGGGCTAGGGATGTAGGGAACTGATATCATGCTGATCTTGCCTTTGCTGTCTACATCCATTTCGGTCTGTTTTCTCCTTACTGGCTGAATCTAAGGAAGTGCAACAAGCCAAGCTAGCAGGTACCACGGAACTGCTGCTTAGCCCTCACTGGTGGGCTTATCAAACATTTAAGGAAAAAACTAATACTATTTCTAATCAACTCTTCCAGAAAATTGAAGATGACTAACTCATTCTATGAGGCCCGCAATACTCTGATACTAAAACGAGACAAAGTCATTATAGGACCAACATCCCTCATGAACACAGATATAAAGATTATAAGCAAATTTTAGAAAATGAATTCAACAATGTACAAAAAGGAGGATACACAATGATCAAGTGGGGGTTATCCCAGGAATGCTGGGTTGGCTTAACATTTGAAAATTAATCAATATAATTCACAAATTATAAATAAACTAAAAAAAAAAACCCATGTGATCATTTCAATAGATGGAGAAAAAGCGTGTGATAAAATCCAACATCCATAAAAATTCTCAGCAAACTAGGAATAGAAAGGAACTTCAACTTGATAACAGGCATCTGTAAGAGATCTACAGCTAACACCATACTTAATGGTCAAGAACAAAATAAAGATACTGACTCTCACCACGCCCAATTCAACAATGTATTGGAATAAAAGGCATCAGATTGAGAAGGAAGAAGTAAAACTATCTTTATTCACAGATGACATTATCATCTATACAGAAAATCCAATGGGATCTACAAGAAAGCCATTAGAACTAATAAGTGAGTTTAGTTAGGTTGCTGTATACAAGATTAATATACAAAAATCAAGTGCATTTCTATATGCTATATATGAATAATCAGAAATTGAAATTAAAAAGCAATACCATGTACAATAGTATAAAAAATATGAAATACTTAGCTATAAATCAGACAAAAGATGTGAAAGACGTGTACAAAGAAAACTCAAAAGCACTGGCGTGAGAAATTAAAGAAAACCTAAATAAATGGGGATATATACCTTGTTCCTGGGTGGGAAGACTCAATATTGTTAAGACGCCAATTGATCTTTAAGTTCAACATGATCTCAATAAAAATCCCAGCAGGCATTTTATAAAAATTGACAAGCTTATTATAAAATTCAAATGAGAATGCAAAGGACTGAGAATAGCCCAAACAACTTTGAAAAAGAAACACAAAGTTAGAGAGCTAACACTACCTGATTTCAAGGCTTGTTATAAAGCTACTCAAAATAGTGTGACATTGGTATAAAGATAGACAAATATATCAATGGAATGAACAGAGAATCCAGAAAAAGATCCACACATTTATGGACAATTGATTTTTGACTAAAGTACAATGGCAATTCAGTGGAGGAAGGATAGTTTTTTCAACAAATGGTACTAGAACAATTAGATATTTATATGCAAAAAAATGAACTTTGAGGGGCTGGCCTGGTGGTGTAGTGGTTAAGTTTGCACGCTCTGCTTCGGCAGCCCGGGGTTTGCAGGTTTGGATCCCGGGCATGGACCTATGTACCACTTATCAGGCCCTGCTGTGGCAGTCATCCCACATATAAAGTGGAGGAAGATGGGCACAGATGTTAGCCCAGGGCCAGCAGTCTTCTTCAGCAAAAAGAGGAGGATTGGCAACAGATGTTAGCTCAGGACTAATCTTCCTCACCAAAAAAAAAAAAAAAAAAGAACTTCAATCCATACCTCACAGCATAAACAAAAATTAACTCAAAATGGATCACAAACCTAAATGTAAAACATGAAACTATAAAACTTCTAGAAGAAAACATAGAGAAAACTTTGTGACCTTTGGTTAGGTAAAAATTTCTTAGATATGACACCAAAAGCATGACCTACAAAAGAATAAATTGGACTTAATTAAAATAAAAAATTTCTCCTCTTTGAAAGATACTGTTGAAAAGACAATCCACGCACTGGGAGAAAATACTTGCAAAGCATATATCTGATAAAGGACTTGAACCAGAATATATAAAGAACTCTCAAAACTCAATAATAAGAAAACAAAACTCAGTTAACAAATGGTAAAAAAAATTGAACACTTCATCAAAGATATACAGACAGCAAATAAGCATAATGAAAAGATGCTTCACATCATTAGTCCATTAGGAAAATGCAAATTAAATCACAATGAGACTACATACTTATTAGAATGGCTAAAATTAAAAGGATTGACCATATCAAGTGTTGGTGAGGATGTAGAGGAATTGGAACACCCACACTCTGTTGATGGGAATGTAAAGTGGTACAACCAATTTAGAGAACAGTTTGTCAATTTCTTAAAAAGTTAAACATACACATGCCATTTGATGTAGTCATTCCACTTCAAGGTATTTATCCAAGAGAAAAGATAGTATATGTTCATACAAAGACTTGAACACAAATAATTATAGAAGCTTTATTGGTAAATATCCCAAACTGGAAACAACCCCAATGTCCGTCCATAGGTTTGTGGATAAGCAAATTATGATTTATGCATACAATGGAATACTATTCAGCAAGAAAAAGGAATGAAGTATCGATATGTACAACAACAGTGATGAATCTGAAAGTAATTATACTGAAGCCAGAAAAAAAGGAGTACATACTATCTGATTCCATTTATATAAAACTCTAGAAAATACAAACTCATTTATAGTGACAGAAAGCTCAGTGGGGAGAGATGGGAAGGAGGAATCATAAATGGGCATGAGAAAACTTTTGGGGGTGATGGATATGGTCACTATTTTGATTGAGTTGATGGTGTCTCACAGGTGTATACATATGTCAAAACTTATCAAATTGTAGACTTTACATAGTGCAGTTTATTGTGTAACAATTACACTTCAATAAAGCTGCTAAAAAACCCCAATATTTTCAGAATCACTCAAGAATGAGACACATCACAAGAAAAAAAAAATTTGTAACCATATATGGAGACAGATGTCAACTAAATTTATCATACTGATAATTTTTCTATATATACAAATATTGAATCATCACCGAAATATTGAATCAAGCTGTATACTTGAAGATAATATACTGTTATATGTCAATTATACCTCAATAAAAAAAAGAGAATGAGATAGAGATAAATGCTGCTTTGCTGGTAGACTACTACACGGTGAATTCTTATTTCAAAATGCTGTGTGGCATAGTGGAAAGAGCGGATTTTCCATCAGGAAATCGTATTCGAGTTCCACCTCTGCCGTAAACTTACTAACCTCTCAGTCTTCAATGTCTTCATCTTTAAAACTTCCCTGCTTATTTTATAGAGCTAATGAGATAAAATAAGTGAGATCAGGGCTTTATAAACTATGTGTCACACAAATGTATTATATTTACTATTATTTACCGTATCACTTACTGCTTTACCTGACACACGAGACCTACCTATAATAGCACAAAGACTGATTATTTTAGGTTAAATTTAAATTTTAAAAATTTCTCTCTTATGGCAATAGCCATGTTTTAAAACACGCTCTTTTAAAAAAACAATTTAATGTGAGAAAATGAAACCTTTGAAACACTGAATAATTGTTTTTCTAATGTGGAAAGCAATGCCTTTTCTACCAACTTGACTGAATTCTGTTAGAGACTGAACCAGATAACAGGTATGATATGATTTGAAAAACCGTTGAAAACATTTTACAAATATAAGATGCTATTACTGTAACTATATTTTATGTCCATGTGGCTAACGTAATATTCAGACCTTTAGGGTACTGATGACTCAAAGACCAACAAACTGAAGTAGGATTCTTAATATTCAATTAATTTTAATATTTATTAAATGCCTATTAAATGTAGGTACTGGAGGTATAAATTGAATGAGGTCTCTTATGTTCACCAACAAATTAAATCCTTAAGGTACCTAGATAAGGAAAATGAGGCTTGGAGGAGTTAAGTAGCAGATAGCAAGTCATAGAACTGGTATTTGAGCCTGGTATTTGAACTCAGTTTTCTAGACTCCAAAGTCTGCCCTTTTCACTATGCCATCAAAATGGCTTATAATTGCAAAAGCGCTTGATACTAGCAAATCAAGCTACCTATGTGCTCTACATAAGTATATATTTTTATATCTTTATATTATATAATTATAAATATTATATTTGTGTGACATGCAATATATTTAATAGATTTATATAATTATATATAAATATATAAAAATACCTTATATTACAAAGTAAAAATTAGCAATTCTCCATGTTCTGTATTAAAGAAGACATACGTACATCTGTACCATAGATGAGGAAATCACTAGTTAAGGCATGACACAGAATACGGCACTTATCATCCACTGCTGGGAAAAGTCGAGTCTCACGTTCTTCTTGAGCATCCAAGATTTCACTTTCTATCTAAAACATAAAGAATAATAATGGCTCATATATTTGAGTAAACCTGGTTTGCAATATCTAGAGGGTAGAGATGGTCCTTTTCTTTTGTTCAATTAAACATTCAGACTCACCAGACTACCACAGACCAGTTTACTCAGAAAGATATCAGGCAGGAACCATAGCTTGCTAGCAGGGCAGCATTAGACACCCCTCTTTAGTGGTAATAGTCTTCACAGCAGGCTCTGCAGCTGTCTAGTAGCTAATTTCTTTGGCTTCGCAGATGCAAAGAGTCAAGAAATAGATATGAGAGATGCCCTGGTTTAGAAGCCCCGTCTTCCAGGCGCTAATATTTTTTGAACAACTTAATAGGCATAGTTTTGAGGATTTCCGACAAGCGACATGCCCAAATACAAGAGTCAGTGCATTCCAGGAAGCCCAGAGGTATGGCATTCCCATCAGGTTTTTATAGTTAATTTATAGTTCCTTATAATGCAAATTAACGACAGGGTCATTTTTACCATAAGCACTGTTGCGAGTAGCACAGTGGATACTTTGTCAGGTTTCTGGGGAACAGACTAGAAAGTTAATTGAACATCTCACACAGAAGGGAAAGAGTTTTGTTAAACTTTATCCATACCTGGCTTTCTAGTTAGTTTGTACATAGTTGGTTCCTGATAATCATCGTTCTTGACAATCAGACATTAGGCTGTTTATCGTCATCACTTAATTGAGCAGGCCTCCAGGACATCAAAATTATACTTACCAAATGTAACTGGACTTTGCCTTCAAAAAGAGCAGCAGCATAGTCAGAATGAAGGCAAACACTGGCTACTGTCCCTAGATATTCCACATCTTTCAATTTTTTCACAGCTGTAGCAATTTAAACAAAACAATTAAAATATAGATTAATTTATCCTATATAAAGATTTGCAAAATAATTTTTAAATGTATGCCTTTGCAAGGATATTCTGAACTTAAAATTTTTATACTACTCATTCTAAAGAAAATCTTAGTTGTCACATAAATTTGCCTTCAGGAATTCCATAATTGTTCACATGAAACAGAATAATAGAAAATAAAATCACATGGAAAACAACCAAAAATTAAACCTTAGTGACAATAATGGTTTCCTCTTAATGGTGTACTCTATCTGAGGATAATTCTCAGGCTTGCTCTATTCCTGAGGGGTATCTGACCTCCAGTGGGAAAGGGGTGGAGACAGGAGGGAGGGTAAGAAAAAAAACCAAGGCTCCCTTCAGATGCTAAATGATCATTATTCAAAGAATAAAAGGGGGGAGAAAACCAACGTTTATTAAGTACCTACCAGCTGGAGAAGTGCCTAAGAAAGTCATCGTGTAACAGTAGATCACATACTTTATTTCATTTAATTTTTCTCATGATCCCTTACAAGTAGAAGAATCCTCATTTTCCAGATGAGCAAACCGAGGCTCAGAGGGGTAAAGAATTTATCTATATGCAGCTAAGAGAGGCAGAATGGGAATCTGAATTCAGGGCCTAATTCTAAAGGTCATACTCCGCCCACTATGCTATGCTGTCTTCACTACAAAGGTAAAGAATAAAACCTTTCCAAAAATTATTCAAATTTTTTAGAGGATTCACAAAACCATTTAAGCTAAGAAAGAGACGTCTAAAGAAACAAGAGTGAAAGACTTGGTCTTAAAAGAAACTTTCAGTGCTTCCCAAATAATAACAGAAATTCTAAGTCAGATAAGAAAACAACAACTGGATTTAGACTTGCCATTCTCTCCAAGGACATAAAACCAAGCTCGGTTATTCATTCCCACAGCCAGATGATAAAGTCCTACTGCTACAAAGTTGGGTTCCACGTCAACAGAAACTGTGATTGGTAGCTCCTATAATACAGAAAAGTAACAGTAGTAAATCAACTGCTAAAACTGTTTTGATTTTGTTAATAAATAAAATAAAAATAACACCATTTTCATACTCCTTCAACAGGGTTGGCTACGGTGACTTCAAGGAGGGAGGTGAGGTATGCAATCCTTGTGCTGCAGGCATCCCCGAGTATTGGAAGCTTGGTCAGGAAAACATGGAGTGAGCCCCTTTGGGTTGACAATGCCAGCAACTGGCCATCATCTGTCCAGGACAAGGTGCCCAACCCTGAAATAAGCGACAAAAGATTATTCAAAAACAAATGTACTGGTGCAGGCAAACAAGCAAATATTTTCACTTAAGCTACTAGAAGCATAAAGATCTTCAAATGTTTTCTTTAATAATTTAAATGGTCCTGATTTAGACTAGGAAATTCACCCAGGATTGGCATATGAATGTGAGCACTGACTCATTCAATACTGGTTCACAGGGAAAGTATGTGAGAATTTAGATTTTAGAACTGGAATTGGGATAAAACTCACTATAAATTTTTGGATGAAAGTGGACTTATATCCTTCTAGTCAAGGAGTATAACTCAACATAATTACTATAATAAGGAGGCTATTCCAGGGAGCTCTAGTGAAGGGTGTTAATTTTATTCCTCCTACAACGAAAGCAAATCATACAATAACAAACTCATTACTCTGTAATTGCAATGGTAAAATGTCAATCTGCTTCAGAAAAATCAGTACCTTTATTTTCATCATCCAGGTTAATTATAGCATACATGTCTTTTAATTCTGCCAAGTCATGGATTTTAATGCTGAAAAATAAAAAAAAATAAAACATTTTAAATATGAACATTAAGTAAAATTGTTTTAGTTCACAAAAAATTATAATCTATGGAACAGGTCAGTGTTCTCCAAAAAAGGGATATACAGGACGATCTATTGGGTTAAGGTAAGAAATTATTAGAATTTCTATATTTAATTATATTTACCTTTAAAATTTTTTTTTGGGTGGGGGAGTTGTGCCCAGTTTAATTCTCTGATCTATAGCTTCAGGAACAAGGAGGTTTAAGTTGTCCTGAAGAAAAGTTTGAGTAGGAAAAATCACTCCTGAGCAGTATTAATTATTGTTAAGATGAAACAGGTTTCTCTTTGCACTGTGCTCCCTCCACCACCCAGAGTTCTTTCATACAAAGAGAAGTGAGGTATAACAGAAAGAGCTTTCAATTTGCAATGATAAGGCACAGGTTGACAGCTCTGAAAAATGGGGCATAATATTACTTCATAGGGTTACCAGGAAGAGTAAGTCAGTTAATGCAAATGAAAGCTGTGTAGCACCATGTTTAGACCTAATAGCTGTAATATTTCTTTCCTCCTTGTCTCCTTTCCTCTCTCCTTTCCCTCTTTCTCCTCCCTCCCAGTGTTTTTCCTTTATGTATTTTCCCTCATTGTTTTCACTTAAACTTTTTATTTTGATGTAATTCTAGATCCACATGCAGTTGTAAGAAATAATACAGGGAGATTCTGTGTACTCGTTACCTTTTCCTCCAATAGTAACATCTTGAAAAACTATGGTATAATATCATAATCAGGATACTGACATTGATATAATCCATGAATCTTATTCAGATGTCCCTAGTTTCACTTGTACTTATTACACGTGTATTTAATTCTATGCAATTTTATCACATGAGATTCCTGAGATCCACAACCAGTCAGGATACAGAACAGTTCCTTTAATGCAAAGATGCCCCATGTTGCCCTTTTATAAACACACTTACCTCCTTCCTCCCCACCTCAGGCCCAGCCCTAACCCCGGCCACCCCTAGTCTGTTCTCCATTTCTATAATTTTATCATTTCAATATTGTATAAATGGAATCATACAGTATGTAACCTTTGGGGATTGGCTTTTTTCACTCAGCATAATTTTCTGGAGATTCATCCAAGTGGTTGTGTGCATCAACAGTTTGTTCCTTTTTATTGCTGAGTAGTATTTCATGGTATGGATGTACCAGTTTGTTTAACCATTCACCCACTGAAGGACATCTGGATTGTTTCTAATTGCTGACTATTACAAATAAAGCTGCTATAACCACTCATATTCAGGTTTTTCTGTGAACATAAGTTTTCATGTCTCTGGGAAAAACGGCCAGGAGTGCAATTGCTGGGTTACATGGTAATTGCATGTTTAGTTTTTTTTTAAGAAACTGCCAAACTGTCTTCCAGAGTAGCTGTGCTATTTTACACTCCTACCAGCAATGCATGAATGACCCAGTTTCTCCTCCTCCTTGCCAGCATTTGGTGTTAGCACTATTTCTAATTATAGCCATTCTAATAGATGTGCAGTGATATCTCATTTCGGTTTGAATTTGCATTTCCCTAATGGCTAATAATGTTGAACATCTTTTCATGAATTGATCTACCATCTGTATATCTTCTTTGCTGAAATGTATGTCTTTTGCCCATTTTCTAATTGGATTGTTTGATTTTTTTACTTTTGAGAGAGCCCTTTATATATTTTAGATACTAGACCTTTGTTGGATATGTGGTTTGCAAATATCTTTTCTCATTTTGCTGCTTATCTTTTCATTCTCTTAAGAGAATCTTTCACAGGGCAAAAGTTTTTAATTTTGATGAAGTCTAATTTATGAATTTTTCCTTATATAGATTGTTTTGGTTTCAAATCTAAGAACTCTTTGCCTAACCCTAGATCCAGAAGATTTTCTGTTTTTTCTGTAAAAATGTTACAGTTTTGCATTTTACATTTAAGTCCATGATCCACTGAGTTAATTTTTGATTAAGGTATAAGCCTTAGATTCTGGTTCATTTTTTTTTTTTTCCCCGCTTATGGATGTCCAATTGCTGCAGCACAATTTGTTGAAAAGGCTGTTTTTATTCTACTGAATTACTTCTGCACTTTTGTGAAGAATCAGTTGTACATATTTGCATGGGTTTACTTCTGGCTTCTCTCTTCTGTTCCATTGATGTATATGTCTTCCCCTCTGCCAATACCACATAGTTTTGATTACTGTAGCTATATAGTAAATTTTAATATCAGGTAGAAGGATTCCTCCCATTTTATTGCTCGTTTTTTAAGATTGCTTTTAGCTATTTTAGGACCTGTGATTTTGCATATACATTTTAGAATAAAGTTGTCTATATATACAAAAACCCATGCTGGAAATCTGATACAAATGTCATTAAACCTATAGATCAATTTGGAGAGAACTGACATCTTTACCCATTGAGTCTTCCAACTTAGGAACACAGTATGTCTCTCCATTTATTTGGGTCTTCTCTGATTCCTTTCAGCAGCATTTTGTAATTTTCAGTATACAGATCTTGTGCATATATCATTAAGTGTATATCTAAGTATTTCATTTTCTTTGGATTAAAAAATAGTATCATATTTTAAATTTGGTTTCCACACGTTCATTGTTAGTATATAGAAATGTGATTGATTTTTGTGTGTTGATCTTATATCCTGTAACCTTGCTTAACTCGCTTAGTTTTAGTTCTGGGAGTTTCTTGTTTGTAGAATCCTTGGGATTTTCCGTGTAGACAATCAAGACATCTGCAAATAGAGATAGTTTTACTTCTCCCTTTCCAATCTGGATGTGGTGTATTTCTTTTTCTTGCCTTACTGCAGTGGCTAGAATTTCTAATATTAGGTTGAGTTAGAGTAGTGAAAGTGGGTATGCTTGCCTTGTTCCCAATCTTACAAACATTTAGTCTTTCACCATTAAGTATGATGTTAGCTACAGGTTTTTTGTAGATGTTCTTTAACAAGTTGAGGTAATTTCCCTCTATTCCTAACTTGCTGAGAATTTTTTTCAGGAATGGGTGTTGGATTTTGTGAAATATTTTGTGTGTGTCAATTGATATGATTATATGATTTTCCTTTAGCTGTTGTGACAGTAATTATGTTGATTTGTGATGTTAAACCAGCCTTGCCTACTTGGAATAAACCCCACTTGGTCATGAGGTATAATTCATTTTATACATTGCTGGATTCAGTTTGCTAAATTTTGTTGAGGATTTTTGTGTCCAAGTTCATGAAAGATATTGGTCTGTAGTTTTCTTTTTTTTTAATACTCTCTTTGTTTGATTTTGATATAAGGGTAACACTAGCGTCATAAAATAAGTTGAGAAGTGTTCTCTTTTTTATTTTCTGAAGAGCTTTTGTAAAATTAATATTAACTCTTTTTTAAATGTTTGGTAGAATTCTCCAGTGAAACCATCCAGGCTTGGAGATTTATTTTTCAGGACCTTTAAAATTATTATTCAATTTCTTTAATGGTTACAAGGCTAATTCAGATTATTTCATACGAGTTGAGGTTTGGCAGTTAGTGGTTTTTGAAGAATTCCACATCTTCTAAGTTGTCAAATTTTCTGAGTGTAAAGTTGTTTGCAGTATTCCTTTATTATCCTTTTAATGGCTTCCAGATCTGTAGTGATACTCATTTCTTTCTTGATATTGGTAATTTGGGTCTTCTCTCTTTTTATTTTTGTCATTCTTGCTAGAGGTTTATCAATTTTATTTTTTTTTCAAGAAAAAAGCTTTTTGTTGATTTTTTTCCTAATTTTTAAATTTTCAATTTCATCAACTTCTGCTCTATATTAATTTTCTTCCTTCTACTTTGGGCTTATTTTGCTCTTTTTCTAGTTTCTTGATGTAGGCACTTAGATTATTAATTTGAGATCTTTTCTCTTTCCTATGTAAGCATTTAGTACTATAAATTTTCTTTTCACCACTGGTTTAGCTGCCTCTCATATATTTTATATGTTGCATTTTCATTCAGTTCTATGTATTTTTAAATTTGCTTTAAGATTTACTTTTTGACCCATGAATTATTTGGAAGTAGGCTGTTTAATTTCCAAGTGTTTAGAGAATTTCCTGTTGTCTTTCTGTTACTGATTTTGAGTGTGATCACATTATGGTCAGAGAATACTTTTTGTATGATTTCAATTTAAATTTGTTAAGGTTTGTTTCACGGCCCAGGATATGGTCCATCTTGGTGAATGTTCTACAGGCACTTGGAAAAAATGTGTATTCTGTTGTTTGGTGGAGTGTTCTATAGATGTCTGTAAGATCTAGCTGGTTTATAGCGCTGTCCAACTCTGTTGCGAGTTTAGCTAAGCTACTTGATGGTATTGCTGCCTTGGTATCCACTTTGTTTGGCCAAGTGGCCTGCAGTGACCTTAAACTGACATGTAGCCCCTTATGCTAGTGCATGTCCTAGATATCAGCCCACAGAGTCACAAGCAAATGTAAGTTCCTGATGTGACTTCCCCAACAGCCCTTGTGATTAACAGTCTCCTCTGCCTCCCAACACCTTCCCCTTATGCACCCCTTAGATAAGACCCCTATGGGGCTTACCAAAACCTCTCTCTTTTGGTTTGAATTGACCAATCCGGCCTTATCCTGAGAACCCTACAGCAGTTCATCTATTAACCCTCTTAAAGGCATGTGCCCTGGGTCCTGTCTCTTTCTACCTTGACCTCCCTGTGAGGCCCCCTGAGGCATGCCAGGTACCTCCTCCAGGACCTGTGAATAACAAACTTCTCTATTTCAATTCCTCTTGTGTGTGTTGTTGATCCGGCATCCTGTGCTCCACTTGATAAGTGTTAATGTGACAAATTCATAACAAAGTCCTTTACTTCCTTGTTGATCTTCTGTCTAGTTGTTCTATACATTACTGAAAGTGGGGTATTGAAGTCTCCAACTATTATTGTTAAATTGTCTATTTCTTCCTTCAATTCCATCAGTTTTTACTTCATGTATTTTGGAGCTCTGTTGTTAGGTGTAGACTCACTTAGCATTATTATGTCTAATCAATACGCAATATCCTTCTTTATCCCTAGTAATTTTCTTTGCTCTTTGTCTGGTATCAATATAGCCACCCTGGCTTTCTTCTGATTAGTGTTCACATGATTTATCTTTTTCCATCCTTTTACTCTTACCTAAGTATACCATTACATCATTATATTTGAAGTGAGTTTCTTATAGACAGCATATAATAGGATCGTTTAAAAATTCCATTCTAGGGGCCTGGCCCTGTGGCGTAGTGGTTAAGTGTGTGCACTCCGCTGCTGGCGGCCCGGGTTCGGATCCCAGGCGCACACTGATGCACCGCTTGTCAGCCCATGCTGTGGCAGCATCCCATATAAAAAGTGGAGGAAGATGGGCACAGATGTTAGCCCAGGACCAGTCTTCCTCAGCAAAAAGAGGAGGATAGGCATGGATGTTAGCTCAGGGCTGATCTTCCTCACACACACAAAAAAATAAATAAATAAAAAATTCTATTCTAATAGTCTATGTCTAATAACTTTGTCAATTACACTTAACATAGTTATTGATATGTTTGAATTTAAGTCTACTGTTTTATTATTTGTTTTCTGTTTATTCCTTCTGTCTTTCATTCTTCTGTTTTTCCTTTCTTCTCTTCTTTTAGACTTAAACATTTTAGTATTCTATTCTAATTTATTGTTTTTTTGTATATATCTCTTCATATAGTTTTAGTGGTTGCTCTAGATTACAATATACATATTCAATTTCTCATAGCCTACTTAGAATCAGTGTTTTACCACTTCAAGCAGAATACAGAAATCTTATCACATATAAGAAATTTACCCTCTCCCCTTTATGTTGTAGTTGTCTTATGTATTCCATCTTCATGCACTGAACACACTATCAGACAATATTAATAATTTTTGCTTTCAATAGCCACATATATGTTAAAGATTTCAAAATAAAAAAATAGTCTATTGTATTTACCTAGCTATTTACCATTTCTGTCGCTCTTCCTTCATTCATGATGTCTTAAATTTCCTCTGTCACCTGTTCTCTTCTATCTGAAGAACTTCCTTCAGCAATTCTTTTAGAGCAGATTGGTTAGCAATAAATTTTCTTCCTTTTCCTTCATCTGAGAATATTTTTTTTTTTCAGGCCTGAGGGCCTTCTTGAGTATTTCTTGTAGTGGGGGTCTCGTGGCCATGAACTCCCTTAGCTTTTGTTTATCTGGGAGAGTTACTATTTCTCCATCATATTTGAAGGATATTTTTGCTGGATAGAGTATTCTTGGCTGAAAGTTTTTGTCTTTCAGTATTTTGAATATATCATTCCAGTCTCTTCTAGCCTGAAAAGTTTCTGTTGAGAAATCCGCTGAGAGCCTGATGGGAGTTCCTTTGTACGTTATTTTTTGTTTTTGTCTAGCTGCCCTTAATATTGTTTCTTTGTCGTTGACCCTGGCTAGCCTTACCACTAGGTGTCGTGGTGAAGGCCTTTGTCTGTTATTATATATAGGTGTCCTGTTGGCTTTGCTTACTGGTATTTCCTGCTCCTTCCCCAGATTTGGGAAATTCTCAGCTATTATTTCCTTGAATAGGCTCTCTGTTCCTCTTTCCCTCTCCTCTCCCTCAGGAATACCTATAATTCTTATGTTACATTTTCTAATAGAGTCAGATATTTCTCGGAGTCTTTCTTCATTTCTTTTTAGTCTTAGTTCTCTCTCCTCTTCCATCTGGAGTATATCTGTATTCCTATCCTCTAAAGTACTAATTCTTTCCTCCATATTGTCAGCTCTGTTCTTTAAAGATTCCAGATTCTCCTTTATCTCCTCCATTGTGTTCTTCATCTCCATCAACACTGATTGGTTTTTCTTTATGATTTCAATCTCTTTTGTGAAGAAACTCCTAATCTCATTGAATTGTTTGTCTGTGTTGTCTCGTATTTCATTGAGTGTTTTTATGATAGCTATTTTGAAATCTCTGTCATTTAGTTTATGGATTTCTGGGTCTTCGGGGTTGATTTCTGGGTGCTTGTCATTTTGTTTCTGGTCTGGTGATTTCATATATTTTTGCATTGTGGTTCCTGTGTTGGTTTTGTTTTTCCTCATCCTGGAAGTCTCTGGTTGCAATTTCCACCTGCCGCCACTGTCTGGTGGTAAAGGGCTGTGTAGTCTAAGCCCGCTGCGCTCTGCCCTGGTTTTTCTGCTGCGATCCGCAGTTTTGTTTTTTTTTTTTCCCGCTGCGATCCACGGGTCCAGTCGTTTGATCAGGTCTGCCTCGGATCGCTAGGTCTGGTCTGGTCGGTTGAGCTGCAGAGTCCGGGTTGCGGGGAGCGGGGAGCTCTCTCTTTTGCCCTCTGGGTCCCTGACGTTGGAGGCTTCTCGTTTGCCCCTCTTTATCCGCTCTCTGGGGTGCTCAGATGTTGATGGTAGCCCTGTGGCTCCTCTGAGTCCTCTGTGCGGGAGTTTCCCACTGGCTGAGAGAGTCCGAAGAGCCACGGTTTCCCCGCCGAGGGCCGCCCCTCCCCCCTCTCTGGGAGCTGCGCGGACCGGGATCGCTGATCTGATGGGGAGGGAGAGGAGTTCTCCTTACCTCTCCCCACTTCCTCCGGGGGCCCAGCACGTTCCACTCTCAGATGTGCGGCAGTGTGGATCCCTCCGCTCTAGGTTTTCACTGTCTGGGATTCCGTTGTTGGTCTGTGACTGTTGCTTTTGTTGTATCTTGTCGGGGGAAGAGTTCACGGGAAAGCTCACTCCGCCATGATGCTGACGTCACTCTCCTGAGAATATTTTTATTTCACCTTCATTACTGATGGATATTTTCGCTGGATACAGAATTTCAGTTGATGGTTCTTTTCTTTCATCACTTTACGAATGTAGTGATGCTTCCTTCTGGCCTCTATGCTTTATCGTGAGAAATCCACTGTCATTCAAATCGTTGTTCTCTGGCAGCTTTCAAGATTTTTTCTTTGTTTTTAGTTTTTAGCAGATTGATTATGATGCGTCTGAGCCTAGATTTCTTTGGATTTATCCTTTTGGGGATTTGCTGAGCCTCTATAATATATACGTTTATGTCTTTTGCCAAACATGAGAAGTTGTCAGCGATTATTTCTGAGACTCTTATGACACAAATGTTAGATGTTTTGGTATTGTTTCACAGGTCCCTGAGGCTCTGTTCACTTTTCTCCAATCTTCTTATTATCTGCGTTCAAATTGGATATTTCACTACCTATCTTCAAGTTCACTGACTCTTCACTCTGTGACCTCCATTCTGATATTAATTAAGTACACTGTATTAATTATATTTTTCAGTTCTAAAATTTCCATTTGGTTCTTCTTTATAGGTTCTATTTCTTTTCTGAGACTATGTTTCCATTTGTTTTGAGAATGCTAAGCCCTTACCTCTTGGAGCATTTTTATAATAGCTGCTATCTGCCATCATCTGGGCACTGGTGTTTTTTGATTGCCTTTTCCCAAGCAAGTTGAAATTTTCCTTGTTCTTCATATGTCAAGTAATTTGGGGTTATATTCTGGACATTTTGCATATTATGTTATGAGACTCTGTGTCTTGTTTAAATCCCATGGAGAAGGTTCATTTTTTTTTTCTTTTTTAGCAAGCAATCAACTCAGTTGGGTTCAAGCCACAAGTTTTAACCAGGCTTTTGTGGGTCATGGTTTCAATGTCAGTCCCACTTTTTCAACGCCTTTGCAGTGGTATTCAGATATGTCCCTGTATGGCCCACTCAGTGGCCAGTATAGGACTCAGGCCATGATCTAGCCCTTAGTTCAGTTCTCAAAGTCTTTGGTATGTGTTTAGGATGAGATACACATACACAGCTCAGGGGTGAACCTGGGAGTTCACAATATCTTTATATGGCTGCTTTCCAGAGTTCCTCCTTCTCCAGATCTTCCTGATATTTTTCAGTTCCCTGGGGCTCCTCTCTTTGGTCTTCCAGCAAGAAAGCTGGGGCTCTAGTTACCCTGCTTTGCCTTGTACTTTCCACAACTGCACCTGCACCTGCGGCCAAGCAGTGGGAGGATAGAGAGAAAAATAAACAACCAGGGTTTGCCCCACCCTCTTGGGACCACAGCTCCCCCAATTGGAGAGGAATATTACCCTCCATCAGAGTTTTAGGTGCCTGTGGGTCCTTGCTGCCATTGCAGTTGCTGCCTCTGTCATGGTGAGATTGCTTGGTGGCGTGAGAGAACAAAGAAAGAAAAAGAAAGGAAATTGGGGCATTTCCTCAACTCTCTCTGACTGTTAAAAGGTCTCTTTCCTGCAACTTGAGCCAGAACTAGAGGGCTGCTCTCAGAGTCTCTCTGTCTATGCTCTGGTGCCTACTTCTGAATTTCGGGCTGCCTTGAGTCCTGAGAAAGACCAGAGGACAAACAGGAGACTCACTGCTGGTTTAGTGGTACTTCTTCTCCAATGTGCCTGCTACTATTTACTTCTCAGAGTCCTTAAACAGCTGTTCCATGCATTCTGTCCAGGCTTTATAGCTGTAGTCAGTGAGAGAGACGGGTGGAGTATGCTTACTCTGTGTTACCTGGAACTGCCTATTTTATCTTTAAGATTGATTTTCAAGCATACTCTATTTTAGGTTTTGTATTTAATACACATTTAGTATTTTAGGTTTTGCCTGAGAGTTAAAGGCAGAAGTAATGGAGTCTTAGGAATTTTCAATTGCAAACATGTTCTAAGAGTGCAAGAAAGTTATGGTTGACAGACTCACTTTAGCTATCAAAGTCTTGTTGACTCTGTTGAATATTCCTCATATAAGCTTTCCTAGGTATTTGTGAATATAACTTACCAGTTATCGCCACATGTAGCAGCTTTGTTAAGGGTCTGTGATACTGCAATACTTGTTAGACTATCTTTATGGTCACGAGCCTGAAATATCTCTTGACCAATCTCTCGAATATGAGTGGAAATGACCACAAAAATTCCACGCGAAAAACCAACCATGATGTAGCCATCACCATACCTATAGTAACAAAGGCAATAACACAGTAAAAAGGGAGATTAACTCTCATTGGCAATACAATAAATAAGCAAGTACATTAAAACTAAGGAATTAGAGAATATAATTTATCAAGGGCCTACGTGCCAGATAATATGCTAGGTAGTTTCACGTACTAAATCGTAGTCTGTAATCCAGAAACTGTTATATATAGAAGTGAAAATGCTACTGGCAAAAATTAAATATAATTAGTAAAGAAAAACACATGGATACCTTTCTGTAATGAGCTTTTTGTACGTACCAGCTATAGCAGACAATGTTGCCATAGCGCTGCTGAAATTCCAGATCAACTGGGCTATCTGGTTCATTCAGATTAAAAAGAAACAAAGTTTTCTTGCCAACCACTACACTTATCTGCCAGAAAAAATTAAGAGATTGTGAAATGAATTACTCAGTACTTCATGAAAAGACCAATAAGCAAATTCAAACAGCTGAACCTAATTTATGAATATAATGAGCCAAGTTTAGACATGTTTAATGTTATAATTAGTAAGGCAACAATATGACCAAAAGAAGACATTTTACTAATATATAGTCTGGGAAGGGTCCTTGGCTTTATATACCCTTTGAAGTATACTAAAATAGCTGAGTGGAATAACATTTTAAAATTCTCTATACTTCTCATTAGAGTACTATGCAATATAGGACTATTAAGTGTGACATAGTTCCATTGAAACTGAATTCATATTTGGAGTATAGAGAGTCTTCCATTCTAAAAGGCCATCCTGATTTTGAACCATCCGGGATTACAGGTCCACACTCGTGTGGATAATCTAGCTTGGCTTTTTTTAATCATCACTCTTTCCCTCATTTGCAGATCACTAGTCAATGTGGCTAGACTAGTGTCCCTCTGTTACCCACACAAGACAAAACTTAACTGTTATTTTCAGTGGAGACTGTAATTGTGTTGGGGAGAGGGAAGAGTGCATTACTTATTTGGGCTTATTAAGGGTGATGGATATATGTGAAAAGAGAAATATATTTTTCCTTGATTCTATGATGCTATCAATTATAAGTCACTATCAATTTAATAACAGCTTTTTAAGAAATAAAGAAACATTACTTCATTAAATGTATTCATGTTGACTGTGAAAATCATCTGGATTTTAGAATGTTAAAATGTGCATCCAAGGTACTGAAAAAATAAGAACTACAATTTCCAGAGCTCTGCTTACCCCATCTGATAGAGTGAAAATAAAAAGTCATATAGAAATCAACACTTCTGTTCATAAAGGTACCCCCACTGTTTTTGCTACCACAAGAGTGAAAAGAGCAATACCAACTGTAACAGGAAGCTATCCTCATTTGCTGTGAAACCAGGTAGCCAGCAGCAGCAAAAACAACTTTTAGGCCTGAGACTGGGGCCTACATTGGTTTAATAAGTGATGGATTATAATTTTTTTTTTTTTTGGTGAGGAAGATCAGCCCTGAGCTAACATCCATGCTAATCCTCCTCTTTTTGCTGAGGAAGACCGGCTCTGAGCTAACATCAATTGCCAATTCTCCTCCTTTTTTTTTTTTTCCCCCCAAGGCCCCAGTAGATAGTTGTACATCCTTCTAGTTGCTGTATGTGGGACGCGGCCTCAGCACGGCCGGAAAAGCGGTGCGTCGGTGTGCGCCCGGGATCCGAACCTGGGCCGCCAGTAGCGGAGCGCACGCACTTAACTGCTAAGCCACCGGGGCCGGCCCTGACGGATTATAATTTTTTTATCACTACAGATTCAGAGCCATCCTAGAAAAGGAAATAGTATATTCCACAAAATTATCAAAATAACTTGGGCATGGATTTGATTTAGAATTCTTACTGTGCTTTCAGCAGCAGAGGTTCGGTCATCAGTCTTCATCATGGAAAACTGCATGTTGCTGGGCTCGGATCTCACTGGAGTCTGCAGGGGTAAAAATATTATCATTATGAATAAACCCAACACTATAATTCTTTCTGAATGCTAATAAAACAGGTAACTTTCTTTCAATTTTGTTATGTGTTGGACTAATAACCTGAAAATCTCACTTCCACAAACATCTAGAAATTCTGGATGAAACAGAACATATATCTTATTAAATGGATAGGTAAGGAAAATTTCCAGGTACCATAAGCAAAGATGAAACTGAAAACCAAAGTGTGGGTAGAAACTGAACCTGCAGCCACCCAGAGCAGCTAGTAGAGGAGACAGTAAGGAGTCCATTTGACTTGGGTTGAGCTTTGGGTCAGAAAAGAGCTGAAAAACTTATTTTCAAATCAAAGACTTTCCCTTATATCCTCATTATGGTCTGAGGTTCAAATTTATACTTTGAATGGTCTAGAAACTCCCTGCAGTGTTTGGCAAAAACAAATCCAAAGCTTCTTCCAAGGCTGCAAAAAATTCCCACAGATAAGCCCTGCTGAAGATGAGTTCACAATTCAAGACGACAAAACTCACAAAGAAACAACACACCAAGAGCAAGAGTCAGCAGATCTAAAAATAGGAGAATTATCAGAGAGAGAGAGAGGTCATAAAATAAATACTTTTAAAATGACTAAAGAGGGGCCGGTCCCATGGCTTGGCGGTTAAGTGCGCGCGCTCTGCTGTTGGCGGCCCGGGTTCGGATCCCAGGCGCGCACCGACGCACCGCTTCTCCGGCCATGCTGAGGCTGTGTCCCACACACAGCAACTAGAAGGCTGTGCAACTATGACATACAACTATCTACTGGGGCTTTGGGGGGAAAAATAAATAAATAAAATCTTTAAAAAAAAAATAAAATGACTAAAGACATGAAAGGACACGTAAGTATGAGAAAAGACAACACTTTTTTTAAAAGCCCAGGCAGATTTTAAAAGGAACTACAAATTATTTTCTAAAATAAAATGTAGAGGCATTAAAATAAAAAAAACTCAATGGGATAGACAGAAGATCAGAAAATTTAAAGAAAGAATAAGTGCACTGATTTGAGGAAATTATCCAGAAGGTTGCACAGAGTGACAAAAAGATAAACTATGAAAGAGAGATTAAGAGATATGAGAAAGTCTAACAGATGCTCCAGACGGACAGAATAGAAAGGGCAAGAGATAATAGTCAAGAGATAATGATTAAGAATTTTCCAGAACTGATGAAAGACAGCAATCTTCAGATTCAGGAAGCAAGACAAGTCCTCAGCAGGATAAATAAAAATAAATTCACACAAGTAACACTGGAGTGGTCTGCAGAATAGCAAAGTCAAAGCAATTTAGAGAACATACCAAATGAAGCAATACTTAAAATGTATGCTTGCTTACCATACGACAACTTAAGTAGCATGTCTAATTCTGGAAGCATACTTCTTAGGAATTAGACATGGGAAATAGTTATCTTGTATGTAAATAATGGCTGAATGGTAGTTGCTTCCTGGGATGTTATGTGCAAAAATATTCTAGGGCCACGTCTCGATTCAGTGGAGAAAAGAATGCCAATATCTACTGATGATATCTGATATGGATACAAGAGGGAGGAGCTGTAGTAGCACTTGTACTATATAGATCTACCATTCTAATTCTAAAAGGCACCAATATAGAATGATCAAAATTATAAAGTTTATAAAAACTAGTTTTTATACTGTCAGATTAATCTTCCTTAAGAACCACCGTAATCATGCTATGGTTCTGCTCAACATGGTTGAGTTACTTATGTCTGCCTAATTTTCAAAGCTTTCCAGATACAGGAATGAACTTTCTTCTTCAGTCTTATTTTCTATAAATTCTCAAAGCCCAAACCTTCAGTCAAGGCCAGTCTTGAGCAAGCCATGAACAAGCTGTAATAAGTTTTTCTTCTTATCTTTGCTCATGCTGCTCTGCTCTGCTTGGACTGAATGTCAGAGACTGCTACATGTCTTGCAATATCCACTAGAACAAGTTTTAGTAGGGCACATGGTCACCTAGGTAGACTACCTTTGCAGCTTCCCTGGCAGCAGTTAGGTGTGACTATATGATTAGGTTCTAATGATATGAATGGAAATAATCAACGCGTCTTACAGATCAGATCCTTTACAAATTTCTTGCACTCTACTTCTCTTTCTCCCTTCCCTGGGACTGAAATGCAGATGTGGTGCTAGCACGCTAGCTTCAACCATGCAGATGAGGGCAAAACCCCCTAGAACATGGCAGAGCAGTAAGATGGAAGGAAGCTGGGACTCTACAATCTTGTGAAATGGAGATACAAAGATGACTGGCTTACCTCTCTCTGTTACATGAGAAAGAGAAAGAGGAAAAAAAAACACCCAAACTACCATATTCTTAGAGCCCTTGTAATTTTGGGTCTCTGACTGATTCAGATCACCTTCTCTCATTTAAATATTCACAATCCAGCTTTCATTGATCTCCTCAATCTCCCAAATGCTAGAGAATTTGTAAGCTAGGCCACAAAATTTGGCAATTAATCATATCAGGCCATGTATGTTTTATCATAATTAGTTTCGCCTTCTTGAGAGTAGGGGCCTGTGGTTGGCAGCCTCTAAGATGGTCTGCAATGATCCTTACTTTCTGTTTTTTATGCTTTTGTGTAATCCCCACCCCAGCCCCCTTTAGTGTGGGCTGGACCTAATGACTCACTTCTAGAGCACAGAATATGGCAAAAATGATTTTGTGATCAGGTTATTTATTAAGAGACTGTGGCTCAAGTCTTAAATGGCTGTTCTCACTCTCTCACCAGCTACTTCGTTGTGAGGCATTCTATGGAGAGATCCATGTGGCAAGAAAATGAGGCAGGCTTCCAGTCAATAGCCAGGGAGAAACTGAGGCCCTGAGCCTAACAACCTGTCTATCAACAACCACGTGAGTCAATCTGGAAACAGACTTTTCCCCAGTCAAGTCTTCAAATGAGACTGCAGCCCTGAATGATAAAATAATTGCAGCATTAAGAAAGACCTTGAAGCAGAAGCACCCAGCTAATGCACCTGGATTCTTCATCCACAAAAACTGTGAGGCAATAAATGTTTGTTGTTTTAAACTGCTGTTTTGAGGGTAATTTGTTATGCAGCAATAGATAACTAATACAGGGCCATATTTCATATTTCTTCTATAGTACATAGTACAGTGCCATACACCTAGCAGGTATTCAAAGAATGTGTTAGTCAATATTGTTCTAGCAATACTAAATCATAAATGTAGTCCAAAGTGAAATTTTCCCACCAGTGAGATTATATGGCTATTGGTAATACAAATTCCCTTAAGGAGGATCCTCTGAAGAGCTAATCAACCTTGGGAAATTTGAACAGCAGTAAAATTTAATCCTAAAATTAAATTTAATTAGGACTAGTTTGGAAGCCATTTAATATATCAGTTAAAGGTATGGGTGACTCTGAGTCCAGTTATTAACATTTATACTATAAATATACATATATAAAATAAGCTATTTCACAAATATACTGACTGTAACCACAGAGCTAATAATCCATGCTAATACTAGACAATGGGAAATGTACAAAGGAAGATATTTGTGTATTCATATTAAAGAAAAATGCTCTAATACATAAAAAGAAAAGTTACTGATGTTTAGAATATGAAGTTATTATACACATATCTCATATAGAGATTTTCAAATTTTATAGATTAGTTTGACAAACTTTATTTTGAAAAAAAATTTGAATATCTCATTCAGACCAAAGAGATATTACTGTATTACCTGTCTTATCGTGTCACCTTCCTGATTACTAACTGTAATCATTTTATCTTCACCACCTAAAGCAAGCAGATTTTCTGCATTCCAACATCCACATGTGATTCTCTTAGTATGTTTTCCTGAAAAAGAGATGATTTTTGTACAGACACATGGACTCCTCAAAAAAAAAAAATCTGTGATGTCAATCTAAAGTTTAGGTAATATATCACGGAAATTAAACAGACAAGTAATTAAAAATCTCATCAAAGCAGTTAGTGACTAAGCAACCTTATTTAAAACAGTTTATTACCAGAGTGTAAACCAAGATAACCAGATATAAGGGCAATACTGTTTTCCAACTTTTCATGTGGCTATGAGCACAGGCCCTAACATAAAGATATTCCGCTCCTCAGTGAGCTCATTTGTTTACCATATAACCACACCTGTAGTGATAATGTCTTAAGAGAAGTAAATCCCAAAGCACTGAAGTTATCTTTACTATATCCAGTTTCATGGTGTGGTACTCTTGGTATAAGCCGATTCAGCATTCACAGTTTTGACTATACATGTATAACAAAAGGACATATAATGATTCATGACAATACTGAGGTGCAAATATGAATGTGCCCTAGAGAGACCTGAGTTAAGAATTGAGTCATAGCCAGTAAGTGATATAAGATAACCACTAAGTATCAGGCTTTTTCACTGAACCACCTGCCAAAGCAAAAACTTCATTTTTGGGGAGAAATCACATGCTTGACACTGTGGGCATTTGTTGAAGGTCCTGGGATAGATATAAACCCTTGAGTCCCAAGATTAATTCTGTAATGAGAAGCAGAATGGTTAAGTATACACATTCTGAAGCCAGATTGCCTGGATTTGAATCTTGGCTCAACCACTTACTGCAAAACATTGGGTAAGTAACTTAAAATTTCTATTCCCTAGTCATATCATCCATAAATCGGGGATAAGAGCAGGACCTATTTCACAGGGCTGAGGATCAAACGAGTTAAAGCACTTTAAGAGTGTCAGGCATTCTTGAAGTGCTATACAATAAGTGTTAGCCATTTTAGCTGTTATTGAGAACAGAGACCACATTCATTTTATTCTTTGTACCCCTTATAAAACCTAATATAGTACCTATGTAGAAAGTAGGTTCTAAAGAAATAGTTGTTAAGTGAGTAGACCCTGAAGCAGGAGTGTGCCTGGTGTGTCAGGCTCAGCAAGGAGGAGAGCGTGGCTGGAGCGGAGTAAGTGAGGAGAGAAGAGCATGAGATGAGGTCAGAGAGTCTGCAGGGCCCAGTTCATGCAGGGCTTGGCTGGCCATTGTGAGGACTCTGGTTTTGACTCCAGGTGAGATGCAGAGACATTGGAGAGTTCTAAGCAGAAGACTCACTCTGGCCTTTAGGTGGAGAATATTCTACAGTGGGGCAAGAGTTGAAGCAGTGAAGCCAGTTAAGAGATTGCAGAAATTCAGGTGGAAGATGTTTGAGGCCCACACCACAGTGGTAGCAGGAGAGATGGTGAGAACAGGCTTGATTCTGCAGATATCTGAAGGCAAATTAGATATGTTTAGAAGATTTTAGATTTAGAAAATTTTCTGGAAAATTAGATATGGAAGGTATGAGAAAGAGAAGAGTCAAGGATGATGCTAAGGTTTGGCCTGAAGATCTGAAAGGATGAAATGTCATCAACGGTGAGAGGAAAAGCTGTGGGTCAAGAGGGTTTTGGAGATATTAAATGTGAAGTGTTTACTAGACATCTCATCAGAGAAGTTAAGTAAGCAGTTGGATATATGAGTTTAGAGTCTGGAAGAGATAAATATGGGAGCTGTCAGGATATAGATAGTATTTCAAATCAGGAGACCAGAGCACAAAAGTGAAGGGAACATTCAGAGAAGAGACTGGGATATAGGAGATTTTGCTGATCACAGATTAAGTGACTTGGGTGGTACATTGGAACTGGGTGTCCAAAGAGATGGGCATTAGTAAGGAAAAAGGAGTAGATGAAGAGAGGTGGAAAGATACACAGACAAATTTCTTTCTATACCCAAGAAAGGGAGAAGAAAATCTCTTTTTCCTCCTTCTTCCTCTATACCTCAAGCCTCTTTTGCTTCCAGTGCTCAGAACTCAGGTTAGCCTTAACATCAATAATAACAGTTAACACGTTTAGTGTGCCTATTTACAGTGTTCTGGGCACTTTACATGTACTGACTTATTTAACTAATATTAACTCATAGTTAATAAACAATGGGAACCAAAGTTTGAACCGTTATTGGGAGGGCAATATTTAATTAAACTGTAGTAAATAAAATTTATGTACATCAGAACCATGCAAGTGAGAATTGCCTATATCTAGACTAGTTCAAGGAAACAAATCAATGCAAGGTGAAGCAAGGTAACCGATTTTAGTTACTGTAAAACACTGACAGATCATGCCACCATGTAGCAGCTACCTAAAGTGGAATGGCTTGGTTTTAGGACAGTAAGTTATTTAAAAGGAAAAAAAAGCAGAGCCACAAATCACAACCAACTCTGAGAGAGGCAGCTATATATTTAGCTAAACGACCTAATATATGTAATTAACCTGAATCTTTTCAGGCCCATTTTACACAGTTAATAACTAAGACTGAGAACAGAATCAATATTCATATTAAATACAAATATCACATATAAAATCATGTATTTATGACAAGTACCTTACATAAAATAATGATGCGTTGACAAATTATTTTCTTATACCTCAGGTGTCAACATTTCTGGGGCCTATAATTAACTAGAAGGATATAGCTACAGATGAAGTGGGATACAAAAAAATGCCTAAAGGAAGTCAAATAAACAAATTACTTTATATGGTGAAAGCTGATTTTTGTAACTCAAAATTTTTTATTTTTTAAATGAATCAATGATATTACTGTTTAGCTGCAGCACTAAAAATACCAATATTAAAGATACACATATATGTGAAAAAAATTGAAATAATTAAGTGTTCTTAATTGAAAGACACTTTCTCAAGTATTCTGTGAGCACTCATCTCCAGGGTTTAATTCCTTCGTTAGCAGTAAATTATACTTTTTCTGGTCTGGATGTAATTAAGCCCACTAGTTTCAGCATTCACCAGCACGATGCCACAATAATTGAAAAGAATCGCTACTCTTTCTTCTTGGGTATTCATAGGGCAGATGCTAAATGACCACAGATGGAAGGGATCAAAGAGACTGAACCAAGAAGGTCAAACAAGGAACAAACATCCTCTAATTATATACCCTGAAATAAACATAACTCATAGTCCACACCTAGGCTAAACTGGTGTTTGGAGAGAGTGAGGGGTCAGAATTAGGAATCTAGATATGCTCTGTCCAAGCCATCACCAAATGTTTCAGTCCATCTACTAATGTGTTGATATGCATATGAGCTATTCCATGTCCAGATGTACAATCTGGGTGAGAAAGGGGCAAATGCAAGCCACGTTATTAATGAACTGGTGTCCAAAGGCACAGGCTGACCTTAGAGCAACCTATTCTATGTACCCTGAGTAATTCTTAGTAGGCAGTGAAGAGGGCTCTTCTAGCTTAGTTAGATGGAAGGCTTGACCAGGGGAGAGTTACTACTGTAAAATCTCCCTTGCAATATCGGGGAAATCTGAGGCAGTAAAATTTACATTTCTGTAAAGCATCTCAAATATTTAGCAGTGTTTTCAGCCATAACCTACCAAGGACAGGAATCTTTCGAGATGTCTGACGATTATAAATAAGCAAATTTCCTTTAACAGTTCCAACAGCCAGGGAACTTCCAACTTTTGACCAAAGAAGGAAAGACATTTGATCCCTGTAACATTAAGATATAAATTACTAAACAATTCACAATCATAACCTCGAAACAGACCTTTAAAAAAGTACTTCATGAATAATTTTAATATCTACTTAGAAGCTGAAGTACAAAATTACAACTTAATGCCTTAGGACAAAGACTAAGTGCTAAAGACATTTTGGAGACGCTGTAAGATGATCTTTCAGTTAGTTGGACTTAACATACAAATGTGTAAGGAATATAGACTTCAGTTCAGTCATGATGAAACCTCAGATTTCATAAGTGACTCATGATGAGACAGTTATTAACTTATCTACTAATGATAGTTGTAACTCTAAATGTGGTAAAAATCTTAACGGATGATGACATCTTGTGCTTTAAAAAAAGGAGGGTCCAATAATATGATATATTAAATTGGAAAAATCACTGGGAATTCATGACCTTAAAAAGGACATATCTTTACCAGCTCTGTAAAGAGCTTTTAAGAGAGGCTCTCTCAGAAGGAAAAGCACGTTTGCCTACCAATAGTTCTTACGTGCGTGCATTCTAGGACTCACAGGTTGAACATTTATACAGTTCCCCTCTAAAGCGAATCAGGACTCCTTGGAGAGCAGCTCATTTCATACATCGAGGAAAGAAATCACAACGGGTCTAAAAAAGTGGTTCTGAAAATGTGATCCCAGGACCAGCAGCATCACCTGGGAACTTTAGAAATGCCAGTTCTCAGATCCCACCTCAGTCCTATTGAGTGAGAAACTCTGGGGGTGGTGCCCAGCTATCTGTGTTTTAATAAGCTCTCCAGGTGGTTCTGATGCAGCTAAACTTTGAGAACCACTGATACACTACGCTACTGTTTTCAGAAAGCAACACTGCTTTCAGGAATATCCAGGGCGGTAATAAAAGGACAAAAGAGTAAGCTTAAATGGGCTTCCTTTGGCTAAATTAGGAGAATTTGAGCATTAAAAATTACATATTTTATTAAAATAGGTTGAGTTTGTGAAAGGCTATAAAACCATGATGATCCTTGGAAGACAAAAATTCACTTAAAATATATGAAAATTTCGTTGTAATAATAGGTGAATGAAGTGATGGATTACAATGCCTTGCAACAGGAGGCCTTGGTCAGTTACACTGTCTAGTTGGAGATCTGAGAGGCATATTCTCATGGTTGCCACACCTACTTAAACAGATACAGAAAAATACACATTTATCTTTGATAAAATATATACTTAACAGAAGAAACTTAGCAGCCTGGTATAGTAATACCTGTTTACTTATTAAAATTAATCCTGTTTTGGAGTCTGCTTCTCAGAAAACATGAGTAAAAAGAATTGTGAGTGAGCTAAATAGTACCAGAGAGAAGAGAAACCGTATGACAAGAACAAGGTCTGATCAGCAACAGTGGTCACACATATTAAGAGCAGTGTAACATTAGTCTATCCAAATGGTTTATCATTTACTAACAGTCACACAACAACCAACTAGAAAGAGGGTTAAATAGTGTGTTCCAAGAAGCTCAAGAAACCAAAAGCTCTTCAAAAGAAGAGCCAACTAAACAGATTCCATCTCTCTTCTCTTGGGGGATAAGGCCTCCAGAAGGCCCTACAAATTACAATAAGGTACTAAGGCGCATAGGTTTCAATAATGCTAACTGATCAGGCCAATGTATAATAATCACATGTATTTCTGGCAAAGCAAAACTTAAAGAATACATTATTCTAGAGAGATGCACCTGACTACAAAAAAATGCAACCTATGTGAAAGGAACAGGCTTAAAAAAGTTTTGCTGATATGACAATTGAAGATCAATTAGGAAAGAGGCTGAGTAGGATGACTAGTGCTCAGGTCTGAATGGTCTTGGGAGAAGCAACCATGTCCCATGATTCAACCAAGAATCAACTGGTTGATGAACGAGATGTCGTATTTAGTTTTCTCTGGAAAGATTGCTGTATCCCAGGTGCATAACTGCTGTAAGCCTAGGTAGAATCAGGGTAAGTACCACTTAATCCTAAGAAGGCATAAAAATACATCTAGTAAAAATGAAGAAATAAATTCAACCTATTGTGTTAATATAATAATTTAAGAGAGTTAAATGGCATCAAAGAACAACTATATTTGAGTATGCTTTGTGTACTATTTAACACGTGTGAAGTGCTCAAAAGAATTCTGATTAAATTTGTAAATGGAATTTAAATTGTTTAAAGGAAATTTAATTAAGTTTGAAAACAATATATTTAAGAAAAATTGATATTCAAAATTTTGTTTATTAACTACTTAGTATCACAGATTGACCATTAAATAAAAAACAAATAGTAGTGAGTATACCTTTGTGTAAAGAAAAGTCCTTTAGACATTAAATATTAACATCAATGCTAAAATACCCTTGATTTTACCTTAATGATAATTACAACAACATCTACTATTCACTCAGTTCTTAATTTCATGCCTGGCCATGACATACAGTTAAACATCACAACAGCTCTGAGATGATGTGAGGAAATGGATCTGTAGGAAGACAGACAAAGGGAGGCAGAGATATACCAGTTCAAAACACGTGGGGTTAATTATGCATTTTTCTCTGGGTGAGGATGTGGCCTCACTGATGCTGAATTTGGTTCAAGCACCAGTACTTGATGTTTATAAACATTCTGTTGAATGGAAGCACAGAGAGTATAGAAAATCTGCCTGGAGGGCCGGCCCCGTGGCTTGGCGGTTAAGTCCGTGCGCTCCGCTACTGGAGGCCCGGGTTCGGATCCCAGGCGCACACCGACACACCGCTTCTCCAGCCATGCTGAGGCCGTGTCCCACATACAGCAACTAGAAGGATGTGCAACTATGACATACAACTATCTACTGGGGCTTTGGGGAAGAAAAAAAGGAGGAGGATTGGCAATTGATGTTAGCTGAGAGCCGGTCTTCCTCAGCAAAAAGAGGAAGATTAGCATGGATGTTAGCTCAGGGCTGATCTTCCTCACAAAAAAAAAAAAAAAATCTGCCTGGAAAGTGATGTATAACCAAGGTGTAAAACGACAGAGCAAGAAATGAAGCTTCTCAGACCTAGCAAGACTTTACGTTGGGCAGACACCACCACCTGTAGATGTAGGCCTCATGCGTCACTTTGGAGGGTCAAGGGAAACTGTGCCAACGTTATGTTTGGGCTTGTTCTGCATGGCCACCTTGCTTCCTCTGGTTCAGTCATACCTTGCTAAATAAACTGGAAACATATAGTCTAATCTTATGGTATGTGTGTGATCTGTTCCTGCTCACCCATGGGTCACATGATGCCATGAGGCAGATATTACTATACCCATTTCATAAAGATGAAAAAATTGAGGTTTAGACTGAGGTTAAGCAACTTGTCCAAGGTCAAAACTGCAAAGTTTTAGTTGTAAATACTCAGAAATTTTTCTTTTCCATATGGTAAAATGGCTTCTATTTTAGCAGAGATCTGTAATTTATTCCGTCTACTCAGAATTTTTTTTCCACTTGGGAACTGCCCCACCCTTCACCCTACTCTTCACCTGGTGCGATTATCAATTCTATGGCCCTGCCTACCCCACTCAGAGACCTTTTGAGGAACCGAGTGGATGCTGGTGATGTGATAGGGGCATGCTCTTTTCTCCATCATAACTTGCTGTGGAGAATGATATAAGCCAATAGCTGCCAGTAGCCATGGAGAGTGTCTGACTTAGAATGAAGTCAACACAGAGAAAGGAAGAGCCAAGAGATGAAGACAGAGTCTTGATTGTATCATTAGAACCCCTAGACCCAGTCATGCCTGCAGCCATCTCCAGATTTTCCCATATATGTTTTGTCTCATTTTTGGACTTCTTATTCTGTTCCACCAAAAGCAACTTTTTTAGAAGCTATTTATATTTTACAATTATAACAATTTTATTCTAATAAATTGGGCAAAATCAATACAATTATATATGACAATAAGAAAAGAACTTCTTTTATAAGAAAATAACTCATCTTTATAATGAAAGTAGTAAGTATTGTTAGCATCAAATCTACAAATAATCATATTTCTAAGTGAAGATTTAAAAAATAAAAAAGTTATCCTTACCTCATGCCACTGTCTAACTGGCTAGTTTTATTTGTGTTGGCATCCCATAGATAAATGCAACTAGATTTCTCAGCAATCACTGCTAGGATATCTCCATCTTTATCCCAATCCATCGCAACACAGTTACTTTTAAAAAAGAGAGCAAAACATCATTATACATTTTTTTAAAGTAGGGGGAAGAAATTTAAATACTCACCTATTTGTGATTGTGGTCTATAATAAGACCAATCAGTCTATTTTGAGCAGGTTGTAAACTTTCTAAAGTGAGAAATACAACTCACTATTCACTGCTTGGATAATACTAACTTAAATTTTTTGTTGTTGGTGAGGGGATGGAAAAAATTTAAATTCTATTTTAAATATCATTTTCATACATATATATTAAATATAATTATACCTGAGGAGTTACCAGATATTCTTGGATCCTATAAAGAACATGGCCTGTTGGTAAAACAAACTCATTAAGCACCTCTACAAATGAACCACATCTGGAATCAAGAGGTAACTTGTATGATCAAGTTTTGAAAGGTTATTTCAAATTTACAGACAGAAAAAGAAAGTATTGATAAGAAATGATGTTACATCTAGATAAACTGTGTATAAAACAATTGTGTATAAAACAGATTGTAGGATTGCAAACAATGTGAAGATTGAATTCTGAACTAGTAAGAAAGAAATGTTATTTTCATTTTATACGTTAATGGAATAAGAAGAATGATTCAGTTTAGATGACAAAATGGTTATAAATAGAAAATCCTCTATTTAATATGTTTCTTACTGTTTAAAGTTATTCCAAAATGTTCATTATAATTTAAAAACTTCTTCGAGGATTAACCTTTTCTTCTCCGATGTTATTTTTCATTTTGAGACTCTTTGTTCTTTCGTACTGGCTAAGCCATATTCAGATTTACATTTAAGACAACTGGAGTTGTCTTAAAATAAAATAACTGGAGTTATTTTATCCTTCAAACTCTTAAAATATGTTTTGGGGGGCCGGCCTGGTGGCACAAGTGGTTGAGTGCGCTTGCTCTGCTGTGGCAGCCCGGGGTTCGCCGATTCGGAGGCCAGGCACGCACTGACGCATAACTTGTCAAGCCATGCTGTGGCGGCGTCCCATATAAAGTGGAAGAAGATGGGCACGGATGTTAGCCCAGGGCCAGTCTATCTCAGCAAAAAAAGAGGAGGATTGGCAATGTTAGCTCAGGGCCGATCTTCCTCACAAAAATATATATATGTGTATGTTTTGGGATCTTAATTTTCCTTTCAGAGATTTTGGGAGTATGGAAGAGGGAAGCTTTCCAACTGTTGATAAAATCATCTGGCAATTAAAGTTAATGTATAATGGCATTTTATTTATGTGGCGATCCTTTGTCAGTCGAATTCAACTATGATGAATACAGCAAAAGAATTCAGAAGTAAAAAAATAAGGCCATTGTGTAACCAAAATAGATGTCACAGAGATCATGCAATAAATCTCATACAATTTACCCACAGAAGTGTTTTACTTGGTGCCTTATTTTATTTTAGACATAATTATAACTACCTTGACCTCTGTTTCCCAGAATATAGAAATCAGAAGCAACAATTAAGAGAGCAATGGGAAGGGCCGGCCCAGTAGCGTAGCGGTTAACTACACGTGTTCCGCTTCCACGGCCCGGGGTTTGCTGGTTTGGATCCTGGGCGCGGACCTACTCACCACTCATCAAGCCATGCTGAGGCGGTGTCCCACATAGAAGAACAAGAAGGACCTACAACTAGGATATACAACTATGTACTGGGGCTTTGGGGAGAAAAAAGAAAAAGAGGAAGATTGGCAACAGATGTTAGCTCAGGGCCAATCTCCCTCCCCACCCCCCCACCCCCCAAAAAAAGAGAGAGAGAGAGCGCAATGGGAAATGCCAAAATGGTGGCATCTGGTGGATCGGGGCAGAGCAGGAGGTGGGAAAGGCTGTCAGAGACTGAGAGAAGTAAAACAACCTGATTTGCAGAGATGGTGACAATAAACTACAGAAAGCAGACATGAAGCAGAAGCAGACGGCAGCAAAAGACCATTTAGGTGAGGGATTCTGCATATCTTAAGCACTGAGACTATCAATAAAATAACTAATACACGTAATGATTTCACTGAATCATTAAAAATGCTTATGTTTAGAGTAATCTAGAACAATTAACTACTTATGGTATAAAAAAATAAATCCCTTTGCAAATGGAGAAAGCCAAAGAGGAGATACAGGTTATACATAAGTTATACAATTCTATTTGATTATAGTTTTAAGACAGTATTTTTTTATCTTTTAGGAAACAAAGCTTGAAAAAGTTTTTGATATACCTCTGTACTTACCCAGGTAAGTTAATTTCACTTCTTTTTTGACCATGGCGATCAAAGATTTTCACAATATGATCAGCTCTAAAAGCAATTGGAACACAAAGATATGATTTAAATGTTTCTTCTTATTTATCTATGTATGTAAAAAAATTTAAACTGCCATCCAAGTGGCTTCAGTATTCTCTCATGATAGTTTCATAATTTCTATCTAAAAAATTATCAGCAGGGAAAAAGTGCTATGAGCTGTGATGTTAATGGAGATGAATATATTGCTTTTGCCACCATACAACCACCACACAAGAACTTTACTGAATAGATGCTACGGTTATGTGGGCATACAACCATTTGGAGTCAGGATAATGTACCTAAAGCATTCACTGCTTCTTACCCTGTTACTGCAAGGTAGTTTCCTGATGTTTTTTGCCAGGTAAACTGTATTGGTGTGCCAAGCCAAGTCTTTTCTAGCAGTGAGAAAACACGCTAAAAAATAAACACAATTTTTATATTTTCAAAACATACAATTAAGAGTTGGTCAGAAAAGATGTCAAAACGATCATGAAAATAGTAGGATTCAGAACAGTGAAGGCTTATGTTAGAGCTTATCCAAAAGAAGTCAACAATGTAACAAACAAAACGACTAATCAGTCTACCAACCAATCAACCAACCAACCACAAACTGGCTGGTAAAGTCTGGACCTCAACATATAGGAGAGTGTTTATTATAAAATGTTTTTGCTTTTGAATGGTTTTGAATATTAATTTTATAAAAATGTATAATTTGGGGCCGGCCCCGTGGCTTAGCGGTTAAGTGCGCACACTCTGCTACTGGCAACCTGGGTTCAGATCCTGGGCGCGCACCGATGCACTGCTTCTCCGGCCATGCTGAGTCTGCGTCCCACATACAGCAACTAGAAGGATGTGCAACTATGACATACAACTATCTACTGGGGCTTTGGGGGGAGGGGGGGGAAGAAGGAGGATTGGTAATAGATGTTAGCTCAGAGCTGGTCTTCCTCAGCAAAAAGAGGAGGATTAGCATGGATGTTAGCTCAGGGCTGATCTTCCTCTCAAAAAAATATATATATAATTTTAGTGTTCTATACATGTTAAAGATTAAAATTTAAACTTGAATTTAGCTAATTATCAGTGGCATGGATATTGGGGGGATTAAACTTAACAAAACTGCCTTTTAAAAAAATCTTAACCATGATGGAAATACAAAATGTATATACTTCCTTCAAAGTTATTTTCTTCCTTTACTCATTAGTTATATTTACTTCATCATTGTTAAATTTGGGTACTGGGTGAACAGTAGCAGAAAAATCATTCTTTCTTTTCACTTAGACAATCTAGAACTGTGGTATCCAATATGGAAGCCACAAACCACATGTGGACTTGAAATTTTATTGAGTACTTGAAGTCTGGGCAGACCGAATTTAGAAGTACTGTAAATATTGGATTTCAAAGACTATGAAAAAGAGAATGCAAACTATCTCATTGATAATTTTTTTTTGGTGAGGAAGATTGGCACCAGGCTAACATTTGTTGCCAATCTTCCTCTTTTTGCTGAGGAAGACTATCCCTGAGCTAACATCCCTGCCCATCTTTCTCTATTTTTGTATATGGGACACCGCCACAGCGTGGCTTGATGAGCGGTGCATAGATCCGCACCCAGATCTGAACCTGCAAACCCTGGGCTGCTGAAGCAGAGCACATGAACTTAACCACCAAGCCACTGGGCTGGCCCCTCATTGATAATTTTTATATTGATTACATGTTGAAATGATAATATTTACTGGGTAAAATATATTATTAAAATTAATTTTACGTGTTTAAAAAATGTTTAACATGGCTATAAAAAAATTTTAAATTACCTTGGCTCACATTATATTTACATCAAACAGTGCTGATCTAGAACACCTAGGAATACAGAGCTTGAATGAAGAAATTTAGATTTTAATATTAAGTTAAACTACAGATTATAATGGTGCCCACATCTAGGCATACGACATTTAGATACTACTACAGGTGGCTTGACAGTGTGAAGGGCAACACAAAACTCTTCCAATGCTCAAAATTGAACACCAACCAACAGGCATTTCATATGTTAAAGAGAAGATGAAATCCACCTCTATTGAAAACAGAGGTGTGCTATAATCACAGGTGCATCCAATCTTTGTGGAGCATGAAGACACCCTTAAAGAAAAAAGCGTATAAAAGCATCTTGCTTTTGCGAATTTGTGATCACATTGCCCTGGAACCCTTTCATGCAAGAGAGGGATCCTTAAATTTGAATTTCATTAGCTTCATGGTAGACCTTCTCTGGCTGTGACCTTACATGTAACTTTTCTTCAAAGGAGCTATATAGATGCTCCACATACAGTGCAGTGGAAAAGGTGCTAGCTAGCTCCACAACCAGAAAACCAAGGTTGAAATTTCGCTTTTTTACTTATTAGCTGCAGGGCTTACACCAAGTCTCTTAGATTGCCTCAAGCACAGAATTCCCGACTGTAAACCAGGAATAATAATATCTCCTCGCTTCTTATACGTCATAAATTGTGAAGAGCTTTAGAAATGTGAGTTATGATTACCGGTCTGTCAATTCCAATTTCCACACTAAAAGCCATGAGGAAGCACTAGGACGTACAAAACAATTTTTAAATTGAGCTTTCCATTTCTTTGCCGGATCAGGACAGGGGAGTATCGCTGTGGCAAAGCGCAAGAGCGCAAAAGCTGTAGCCAGTGACTGGGGAGTGGAGTTCACAAGAGGCCCAAGCCTAGAAACCGTGCGTGCAGAGGATGATGACGCGCTTGAGCGTTTAAGACCTGCGTGTGCGGGTGCAGATTTCTCCAAGAATAATGTACACTCGCCACCAGCTGATCTGTAAATTGCACAAATTACAGGCAATACAATTTGATTACTCTTTCGGAGGTTTTTCACTCTTTTCAGAGCGCTGGGCAGTTGAGCGGCTTGCTTAGCTGCAAGAAGTGAGGCAGCTCCTGACACCCGATCGAGTCAACGTCACTGCGACCCTCCAGAGGCATTCACACGACCCGTTCTTTCCACCGTGCGAAGTTCGGGGTCTCTTCTGATCCAGTCTGCTGATTTCCGGCCGTGGTGGGGTTCCCTCTTCCTGCACCGCTCCAACTCCGTTCGCGGTCCCAGAAACGACAGCCCTCCCCCTCCGCCTTCTCTTCTTCTCCCATTTTCTTTCCTTTTCCCTCCTTCCTTCAACTTCGCCCAAGCTCTCCCCCTCCCTGGTCACCCCTCTCTCTTCCCCACTCCTCACGCACTCGGGAGGGGGGGGGGGTCACACGCCCCTAACCTCAAAGCCACGCTCGGCGGTCTGAGGGAAGTGCCAGTGGTCCCGTCTTGCCGCGCCCCCCACCCCCGGGTTTGTAAGTTATTTACCTTCATCTTAAGGCTCCAGTGGCCGCACGATCTAGCAAGTGCGCAGGCGCACTCGGTCTCCTCCTAGAAGGCTACCGCGTTCCCGTCACCCAGGAGACCGCGCGAGCAGCGGCCAATCAGCGAGCGCCAACTGAGGGCGGCGCCTCGCGGGGTACTCCACGGGGGAGGGCGGGAGGCGTGGACTGCGATCACGTGATGCCGGTGGAGCTGGGCCCTGGGATGTTGAGCGTCGCGAGGCCTTGCTGCGCCTCGGCTTCCTGGTTGGGCTCTGATTGAGTGAGACCCGGAGACTCGCCCGGGGGAGGTGGGCTTTGTAAGCCCTGAAAGGCGCCTGCGTAAACTCCCCATCCCTGCCCCCCGCCCCCCCCGTTCCCTCCCAGTTACTAAGAAGTCAATGGTGGCCAGAGGGGGCGCCAAGTAGTTCAAGAAAAAAAGGCGCTGAATGCTGTATAAAAGGAGACGGGAATTGGCTCATGGGCAAATAGTCAACAAAGTCCACGGAAAGAGGGCTTCGATGAGCCCATGTGTCATTTATCTTTTTTATCTTCAGATTTCTGGGCTAGAAGGGATGAGATGTGAAAGGTAGTTTTTTTCAAGGCCTTAACAGGCCAACTAAAGGGACCAGCTAAAGTGGGCAGGAAAAATAGGCCCTAATTGCTTCTCTTTAGACTTTGGACCTGGGAGCTTTTCCCCAAGTATTGTCCCCTGCCATATATTTGTGCTTCATTATTTAGAGGATGAAAGTGCATCTTTTACCCAAGTGTCTGAAAGTTTTGAAACATTCCACCCTTTTCTTTTCAACATTAGGTGGGAATCTGATTGGCTTAGAGAAAATTAAATGATGATTTAAAATAGCTAATGATGGATGTGTCTGGACTCTAAATTAAGGTACTGTTCCCTTGTACTGCAGTTTTCAATTAGGTTAATTCCTTGAATTTTAACTGAAAGATTACTCTGCAACCATTCAAGGGATACTAGAGTTGAAAACTGATTTCTGCTGGCGATATATTTTGTACCTTTAGATGTTTAATTTGAGGTGTCAGACCTGCACACTGAAATAGAGATGTCTTTAATAGAAAGTTAGGTGAAAGAGAAAAGGGTTAGAGAAACAGAAATTTCAAAATTGTCCAATAATATTTGTAACAGAGTGAATGGGACTTTCTAGTTTTAGGGGATTTTGGAGAGGCAAAATTTTACCTCCACCCTCTTAGCATTTTTCAGCTGGGCCTGAGAATTAAGCTAACATAAGACGGATTAACAGGAGAAAAACATACAAATATATGTGTTGTGTGACATGGGAGCCCTCATAAGGAAATAACCCTAAGAAATGGTGAAATCTACGTGCTTTTATATTAGGTCAAACAAAGAGAGGCAGTTGTGGAAAAGTAAGTAAACTATGTAGTGAGGCTAAAGGATGACAGTCATTTTAACAAGGTCTGTTTGTGTAGAATTCTCTCAGTCTCAAGTTCTTAGCCTTGATGATAAGAATGTTACTTTCCTTCTGATACAGGGAGGGCATCTTTCACCTGGGAGTTTTTATCTCCTATTTTCAGGAAGAAAAGGGAAGATTAGAATGCCCTTTTACATCTGATTTTTTTTTTAAGTGCCCTTGGCTCCAAGTCATCCTTTTGCCACAGTGGCATGTTTTGGGTGGATATTCTGCCACCTTTCAGGGGAAGTCTACATATACAGAAATAAAATTAGGCCATAAAAATGAAAATCAGGCGAGTGTAGAGTCCCGCAGACCAGGGAGAAGCATTTCAAGAGGTTCAAGTAGATATTATTTTAAGACTGTTGGGTTTGTCTCAGAAGGGGAAGTTAGTGTAAAGTGATAAAGACGGATATGAGACATTGAAAGAAGTCAACTTATTTGAGATATTAGTCAGTTAGGCTTACTGGACTCTTTTTGGTGGGAAGTTGTTTTAGTTACAAATTCTATCTCTTGTTATTGGTTTATTCAGACTTTCTATTTCTTTTTGAGTTAATTTTGATAGTTTATGTCTTTCTTTTTTTTTTTTTAAAGATTTTATTTATTCATTTTTTCCCCCAAAGCCCCAGTAGATAGTTGTATGTCATAGGTTCACATCCTTCTAGTTGCTGTACATGGGACTCGGCCTCGGGTTGGTTGGAGAAGTGGTGCCTTGGGGCGTGCCTGGGATCCGAACCCGGGCCGCCAGCATCAGAGCGCGCGCACTTAACCGCTAAGCCACAGAGCCGGCCCAGTTTATGTCTTTCTAAGTGTTTGTCTTTTTCATCTAGGTTATCCAATTTGTTGGCATACTGTTGTTTGTACTATTCCTTTATACTCTTTTTTTATTTCTGTAAGGTCAATAGTGATGTCTCCTCTTTGATCCCTGATTTTAGTAATTTGAATCTTTTCTCATTTTTCCTGGTGAGTGTAATTTTATTGATCTTTTAAAAAAATAGATTTTGGTTACACTGATATTATAGGTTGAATTGTGACCCCCGAAAAGGTATGTTGCTGTCCTAACCCCTAGTACTTTTGAATATGGCCTTATTTGGAAATAGGGTATTTGCAGATGCAGTAAATTAAGATGAGGTCATTAGCATGGGCCCTTATTCAATATAACTTTTGTCCTTATAAGAAGAGAGAAATTTGGACACAGACACACAGGGAGAATCCCATATGGCAATAGAGGCAGAGATTGGAGTGATGCAGCTGTAACCAGGGAATGCCAAAGATTGATGGCCACACCAGAGCTAGGAAGAGGCAAGAAAGAATTTTCCCCCACAAGTTTCAGAGGGAACATGGTCCTATCGAATGCCTAGAAGCTGGACTTCTAGCCTCTAAAACTTCGAGACAGTAAATTTCTATTGTTTTAAGCCACTTGGTTTTAGGTACTTTGTTACAGCAGCCCTAGGAAACAAATGAAGATTTTGGTACCAGGAAAAAGGGTTCTACTATAACAAATACCTAAAAATGTGGACATGGCTTTGGAATTGGGTAATGGATAGAGGCTGGAAGAATTCTGAGGTGCTTGATAGTAAAAGCCTAAATTGTCTTGAAGACATTGATTGGAATGTGGATGTTAAAGGTGTTTCTGTTGAGAGCTCAGAAAGGAGAGATATATAGAAATTTTCTACTGTGTTAGGGAATACATACATTGTCATAACAGACTGTTGCTAGAAATATTAGTGTTAAAGGTTCTTCTGGTGAGACCTTAGATGGAAATAAGGAACATGTTATTGGACATTGGAGGAAAGTTGATCCTTATTATAAAGTGGCAGAGAACTTGGCTGAATTGTATTGTGTTGAGTGGAAAGCAGAACTTGTAAGTGATGAACTTTGATCTTTAGCTAAGATTTTCAGCCAAAGTATTGAAGGCACAGCCTGGTTTCTCCTTGCTGCTTATACTAAAGTGTGAGAGGATGGAGATAAACTGAGGAATGAACTGATAAGCACAAAAGAACCAGCAATTGGTTATTTGGAAAATTCTCAGGCTATCCAAATAGCATGCTCTGAAAACAGGGCCAATGGTATGGATGGACAGTCATTTTCTAAAGAGATTAGGCATGTGACTTATGGATCCAATCAGCCATCTCATCAGAAGCAAAGATTAGTGAACTTCAAGACATAGCAACATAAACAGCCCCTCATGCTCCCCCCAAATAAAACAGCCAACCACTGAATAATGTATAGAGCATCACTGAGTTGTGGGAAAATTTCAGGTGGCCTAATATATGTGTAATTGGAGTCCCAGAAGGAGTTGGGGGTGGAGGAATAGAAAAAATATTTGAAAAAGTAAAGGTTGAAAAAATTTCCAAATTTGATGAAAACTATAACCATACAGATTCAAAAACTCAGTGAACACTAAGCACAAGAAACATGAAAAAAGCTAAAAAATTATTTAAAACCCATGATGAGAGAAAATCTTAAAAGAAGCCAGATTAAAAAGACATATGCATAGAGGAGCAAAGATAAGAAAATGAGCAGACTTCTTACTGAAAATGGTGCAGCCAGAAGACAGTGGAACAACATATTTAAAGCACTGAAAGAAAAACACTGTCAATCTAGAATTCTATACTCAGAAAAAAGATCTTTCAAAAAATGAAAGTGACAAGCAAACCAAATCCAACAATGTATAAAAAAACAATACACACCATAACAAGTGAAATTTATCCCAGGAATGCAAGCATAGGTCAGTGTCTGAAAGTCAATTAATGTAATACACAGTATTAATAGAATAAATGAACAAAAATGCATGATCACATTAATAGACACAGAAAAAGCACTTGAAAAAATCCCATACCATTAAAAATTCAACACCCATTCATGATAAAAACACTCAATAAACTAGGAATGGAAAGTAACTTCCTCAAACTAAGATCATCTAGAAAAGAAAACAAAGACATATAGCAAACATCATACTTAATGGTGAAAGACTGAATGCCTTTCCCCTAAGCTTGGGGGAAAAAAAGGTTGTCCACTCTTGCCATTTATGCTTAACATTGTACTGTAGGTTCTAGCCAAGGGAATTAGGGAAGAAAAGGAAATAAAGATCATCCAGATGGAGAGGAAGAAGTAAAACTATCTCTATTTGCAGACGTCATCTTGTATGTAGAAAATTCCAAGGAATCTACTGAAAACTATTATAGTTTGAGCAAGGTTGCAGGATACAAGATCAATATACAAAAATCAACTGTAGTTCTCTACACTAGAAGTGAAATTTAAAAAAAATTTTATGTGTAATAGCATCCAAAATAAAATAAAAGACATAATAATTTTAATTAAATAAATAAAAGATTTGTACACTGAAAATTATAAAATTTATTTAAATAAATTAAAGAAAACAAATGTAAAAACATAACACATTCATGGATCAGATACTTAATATTGTTAAGATGGCAATACTCCCCAAATTAATATACAGATTCAATACAATCTGTATTCAAAATCCCAGCCATCTTTTTTGAAGAAATTGAGAAGCTGACCCTAAAATTCATATGGAATTTTAAGGGACCCAGAATACAGAAAACAATATTGAAAAAGAAGAACAAAGTTGGAGGATTCACATTGTTCAATTTCAAAACTTACTGCAAAGCTCAGTAACCAAAACAATGTGA